CTGCATGACATACTGACTAGGTAGTAATATGAAGAAATGTCTTTGCTTGGGTGTTCTTTTACTAGCTATAAGTAGTATAAATCTGATACATTGTAAATAGTTGATGCATACCACCCAACATCAAAACCTATGTTTTTACTTCTTTTTTCACTACTTTTTCTTATGACTGACTACCCCAATCAAGCACCAAATCAAATATGACTTCTAGCTGTACCTGTAGTTTCAGATAACAAGAAACGAAATCCTTTCCCCGCGGGAACGCTTCATCGGTTTTCATGACAACAGTAAGAAGGTTTCCTGTTGACTGTAGAGTATCAGAGCTCGTCCCAATACAACTTGGTTTAACAGCTTGGACTTTTCCTCAGCACCTAAAAATACATATGTAATGTTTATATGAGGTAATAGTTTCATTAAATGATGAAACACCATTGGTCTGGAGACAAACAGTTAGAACACATTGGCGTGAACGCACCATGCTACACAATCAATCAAACCAATCAAAACGAAGCAAATGATCATGTGCTTTGATAAAATAATCTTGAACATTTGTGTAATCTTGCTTGTCATACCCCTGGTGGAATTTTAAAATGAATTTGTTGGAAAAAATATGAATGACCAAAACAATAGTCAGACTAAAAATATCCCCAGAGATGTGAAATATAAGCCCAATGTTTGAGATTAAAGTTGATAAGTTACATACAAATATAATAATATTGTTTTGAAACTCATAGCCGCATTTATAATTACATTTCCTAAACTTATTGAAGCCAAGACGCATAATCTCCATAACAAGCCCGCAAAGATCGCCAGGAAATACACTCTGTTGGACCCATGAGAGCTGTTATGTCAACAAACGACGCGGCGCAGTATTTGAATCTCTCACCATCAATTGCATGATTCTTATTAAAAACTTCATAATAGGCAGCTTAAATCCTGTTAACTACGCTCTTTGTACTTTCAATATGTATGCATATATATTTATCAGGATTTTTAAACAATGACCTCAATGCCATAAACGATTTGGCACTCGAATTATTTTTATCAAAGCACCATGGTCATTTACTCGCTTTTGATTAGTTTGTTGATTTTCGCATTATAACAAGCATCGAGAGGGGATGAGTCTTCTTGTAGTTTACGGAAAGGGGTGAGAGGTGACTTAATGACTTACCCCATTAGCATTGTCGAAAAAGATTCAACGTTTAGTTCCCCATATTTTTATAGTTTGAATTATTTCATCAGTTTAATCAAGAGAGTCACGCTTAGTTCCCCCAAATAGCATATTTCTCGACACTTCAATTTTAGTTAGTTTCTGCTTTCAATTCCACTGCACAACAACCATCTTGATCCTTCCGAGAACCTGGCTACAAGAGCCCCTCAGTGTTGCAATGTACAACATTAAACAGTAGTCAACATTATGTATAATTCTAAGAATATGACTTCAATTACAATTTATCCAAGATTCTTGTGTGATAATTGTGTTATCACACAAATACAAAGTTCATATATCAACAAAAGTCCTCTTTATGTCAGCAAGCTTAATCAGTAGGTAGGTAAATCTTATCCCAGCCTTAATGTCTCAGTAAAGCCCAGAAAGGGAAGATTACACCTTTTGCAATTCTAGCACAAGTTTGTTAAGGTTAATTGGCACACTTATATGAACTTAAAATTTAGTTCGAAGTTATTACTGCCATTACATATTACAATATACGGAGAATATTAAGGTGGTTCAGACGCACCATCGTACACGTTCAGATAGTCTCCACCACAGTTACCACTGGTGCCGCCTGCAAGGGAGAAATTGCCACTAAGACGGATCTGGGTCGTGTTAGAAGCTGCCCATATAGTCCACTTGCAGAACATTTTGCTGAAAGTATATAAAATCTCTCCATATATACAAAGTCAACATCACTGATGCAAAAGGCAAAAAGGGATTGAAATGGATCACTGAGGTTTTGTGATAATGGGATTACATAATTTAGAATTACACATAATATCGGTCGATGCTCATGCTGTTGATCACTGGATCATCTGGTGACCTGCCATATAGCTGGAATATTGCTGAGTGGGGCATAAAACTAAACTCACTCACTCACTACACATAATATGTACTGAATGGGTGAATTTTTGGCTGGGTTTTTGAGCCTTGAGGGAATGACATAATCTTTTACTATTTGTGACAATGCATCCAAAAGACGCCATATTGAGGCGCAACTTAGCAAATACATAAACTGTTAAAGCTCAGAGAATATCCACCTCCATTGAACAATTTAACTCTTTTGCTACAATCTAGCCAACAAAAACTTGGAGACAAGAACTGCCGAAGTTCATATTCTAGCCTAATATGCCATGCTTTTCAAATTAGGTATCAAATGGTCAGGGGCATGATTGGCTAGCCTAATGGTTAAAGCTGCCCACTTGTCACGCTGAAGACCCGGCTTGGTTCCCCACATGGCAAATGTGTGAAGCCCATTCCTGGTGTCCCCACCGTGATATTGCTGGAATACTGCTAAAAGCGCCCAATACCATACTCACTCTTTAGTCAGGCTGTTCTCTAGTTTGTAAAGAAGTAAGCTTCTGCTGAAATCAAAGCAGTCGAGCCTAATCGATGCCTATATTAGAGCATTTTGGGTTTATTTGGCACAATAAAAGCTATAGTCTTAATGCCTACAGTGACAAATGCCTACAGGCAATAATAGCTACAGAGTATGTTGTTTTAGGTGAGCAGCAGTGATGCGCTTCCCCTGCACACAAGTGGTCACTTCCACCCTAATGAGTTTAACCTGTTTACACTATGAAAACTTCCTAGAGATTATCCGATCATATCAGCACAAGCAGGTGCCTTATGTATCCTTTTTGCTTGTTTTCACACAATTTGTCTATCTTTCTCAACAGGAACTATATATGTAAAAGCAATGTAATTACTTCTGTTTAGCATGCAATAGATTTTGTACTGAGTAAGTTTGAGAAGGAAACATGTTGAGCTGGTGTGAAGGCTCCCTTTGACTTTCTCAGTGCTGTTGGTCGACTCAGTGAAAATGGAGTAAAACAAATTTCTCAGACTTTTTGCCAGTCAAAATATGCATAAGATGATGTAAAGATATTTGACCCTGTCAGATGTAAAGATATGAATTCAATTATTGTTCCATTTCACAAATATATGAAAACCCCCAGCATTTTTAATTGTGTAGGCATTTGTCCACCTTGTCTGTTGGAATGTTCCATTTATGTAACGGGAGAAGATACTGCTGCTTGAAATCACTGGTGCATTACTTTGTTTATTCTACACTGTAGGCATTTGTCACTGTAGGCATTTGTCACTGTAGGGCCACTACAACAGTAACAGTGAGAAGCCTGGCAGTCTATCCTTACATGTATATGACTGCTAGTCCTTAATGTGGATGTCGGCACATGGCGCTTGTCAAACCTTGAATGTTAAAATGTCGAAAAGTGAAAACTGTGTGAATAGCATTCTAGCCGCAATATTGGGGTTCATATTCTTCATAATGATGCCCAAGGGCAAAATATCACTTTGTCATAGTGACATGACGCCATGAACAATGCCATGACGCCACGCTTTCCATGATTTTAGTGTTCAACACGACACCTCGTGGTCTAAATATCGGTATATCCCTCGCCTTGCCTCAAGAAATACCAACATTTAGGCACTCGTGTCGTAAACAGTGTGACATGGGCACTCATATAATATCCCTCTATGGGTGACACTAGAATTGAGCTCCACACATGGTACACTTGTGAGGAATCAACCCGACTTCGCATGACAAGCCGCATTGTTTTAACATCTAGGTTACCCCACCACCCATGTAACAGTTATTTCAACTTGTGTACTCATACTGATACAGTGTTTGGGTACAGGTCCTTATGACGCTGTCAATCAAGAAAATGGTATCAAGATTTATACTGATATGCTGCACCATAAGAGAATAACAAAGTTGTCATCGATCAAATATCTTGCCTTTTACAATATAGACAAAGGATAAACATGTAAATCAATGTTTTTTCACTTTTCAGGATATTTCCCATTCAAAATTACCCATTTCTTGCTCATTTACTTTTGAAAAGTAGATGGATGAAAAAAATGAAAAGACAGTGTAAGATGTGACTTTTCAGCTGTTCCATATTTCCAGGAAGCATCTGAGAATCCTTAGCACTAACAGTAGACTCCAAAGTTTCTCACAGCTTGTACACTTTCAATTCTTGTAGAAACTCTGGCATTTACAGACTCAGGTCCTGTGAGGGTCCTTACTCAAAGGAATCACACAAATTGGGATTGTCAAATCCCAAATGGTGCCTAATGTCTGTCACCTGCCCGCCGTGAAGAGGCTTACTTAATGGGATCGGTGGTCAGGCTCGCTGACTTGGTTGACACATGTCATCGGTTCCCCAGTTGCACAGATCGATGCTCATGCTGTCGATCACTGGATTGTCTGGTCCAGACTCGATTATTTACAGACCGCTGCCATATAGCTGGAATATTGCTGAGCACGGCGAAAACTAAACTCACTCACTCAGTCACTTGCCTGCGATAGTTTCGAGGGTAGTTTGGTGAGGTGATTGCAGTTTCTTGTGATGCGGCAACATACATTCCGCCACACGTATATGGGTAGATATCTATTGAACATAAGGTCTTTCAGTATCAAGAGTATTATAATTAGGCATAACAAACACACATTTAAATTCCTACTTCACATCTGCAAATAGGACAATAGCTTGAATAATTGATTTAGTGAATAAGAATTGGTTTTCATCAACCCATGTTTGTCGTAAGAGGTGACAAATGAGGTCGGGTGGTCGGTGACTTGGTTGACAAGTGTCAACATATCCCAACTGCATAGAACGATGTTCATTATATTGATCACTGCATTGTCTGGTCCAGACTCGATTATTTCCAGACATATAGCTGGAATATGCTGAGTGTGGCATTAAACAACAAACAAAACAAACATGATTTAGTCGCCATCACACCTTCCAGGCAAAAGAAAATATTACATGATTCTTATTTAAGTGCCTTCAATTAAGAACAACATTTGGCGATATAGGTTCACATTGTCCTAAATAAACATGACAGCTTAATTTACTTGACAATGAAGATATGCTGAACAAAATGTCAGGGTGGTAGTTTTGTGCACTGGCAACAGACAGCTTAATATTTCAAATATACCAATCAAAAATTCTCTTGATCCCTTTTGTTTTTGTTACGATATTTAGACGCTTGATTAAACATACCACTGAAGTTCCCGCGGCTCATACATCAGCACAAAGCCAATTCTTCCATGGTCGGAGACATACGCTGTTTGATACACCATGGTCATGTAGTTGCTGTTGCTGACTTAAGACTGGGAGGTCCAAGGCACTCAGCCGTGATTCCCTGTGTGTTTATAGACTTAAGCTCGAACTCTCTGAAGATGGGCCTACAATGACATCATAAAGAGCAATAGAGTGTGTTTGAAAGCCAAACAGTTTATCATAAAGCTGCAAACTTGCATGGTGTGGTTTGCCTCTCAGAGTAAGTGAGTGAGTTGGGTTTGAATTTTAACAGTATATCAGTCATATTACTTAACTGTCAGCTTATTGTGTGTGTGTGTGGGAAAGCCTTCACTGGCAGTGTCTGATGTTTACCTCTTTCATTCTGGTGCTGACAAACCAAGAAACCGAATCATGGTGAATCTTGAATTCAAACCCAGGAATATACTACATTGCATGTGGTGCTGCTAAACGCCAAAGTGTTTTGGCCTATCACATTGAAGGCAAGGTTCTATACCAAAATGTACAATATTTGAAGCCCATTTCCAGAGATCCCTGCCCCAGTATGATGGGAATTTTGCTAAAGTGGTCAAAACCATATTCACACATTCCATTCAGTTAATATATGCCGACGAAATAATAGAAGGATCACATAAAACACAAGTGTTCCTTATTTTTTCCCCAGGTTTCTTCACAAGCTTTGTATCTCACAACTTGTGAAAAAACCTGGAAAAAAATAAAGCATTACTTGTGTTTTCATGTGATCCCTTATTTTTTTTCCTCAGTATATTATCATCACCACAAGTGAAAGGAAGTAGGCGATATGAATTTGTTCAATACATTTGAAATTTATTCTGTCACCTTTTGCTAATGCTAAATATGCTCATTTGTCTTATTCCTCTATAACACCTGTATTGTCATGCTTTGTTGGTTTTACCATCATACAGCCTGACCCTTTTGCTGAGACAACGTCCATTGGCTGTGTTGTAACGCAGATACGATTCTGTAACACGCAGCCGTATTTGTTGTTGAGGGTCGGCAGTAAAGACGTAGCTGTAGGTGATTCCTCTACAAAAATCAAGGAAATGGATCAATAAAACACTTACAATAAGATTAGCATGAAATGTATAGAAGACATAGCGGGGCCCTCGTGGTTAAAGTGCTCCAATGGTCGGTTTTGAAGGGCTGGGTCTCGACTCCTTACTCATTGCTACATCTTTTACAAACGACTTTAATTTTCACTTGCAAATATAATCATTTTGCTTTTTACATTTCAGTAGCTATAATGGATACATAATCTATTTTCATCTTTGACCTTGTAAAATATATTCATAATGCACGTACCGAGGGAATCGTTTTTCAAATCCAGGCGAGGTCAGGTAGAGAGGAGTGCTTCGTGTGGGCATCGTCATTGTCTGCACTCTGCTTGTGGAACCTGTACACGTGAAAGGTGACAGTGTGTTCTGTTAAACCTAAACCATGACAGTTTTATGGTGAAAATGTAATAATTTTCCTCTGCTCAAACTTTTATATATTTTCAACCAAGACTTTTGAGTTTAACTCCTGAACAGTCTAAACACAAGAACTATCACATACTGAAATAATCCTGATCTGTAAATAATCTAATCTGGACCAGATAATCCAGTGATCAACAGCATGGGCATCGATCTCCACAATTGGGATATGATGACATGTGTCAAACAAGTCAGCGAGCCTGACCACCTGATCCTGTTAGTCAGCCTCTAAAACAAGCATAAGTTACTGAAGACCCAGGTCTTCATGGGTGAGGTGCTGTATATAATGGATTTGATGACTGAGAGTGAATGAAACATCATGTGCAACATGCAGACAACTGAAGTCATGACATGTATGATTTAACACTTTTCCATTAGCTGCACTGGCAGCTGAGTGGGAGACCTTGCTTACACATACTGAACATGATGCTCTGGATTGTACGCTTGATTCATGTCAGAATTCTCCTAGGTACACTTACAGAATACCGGATACCTAATTATATACATCTCTATTCTGCGCAAGTGAGGCTCCTATATATAGAAGAAACAGAGAGCGCCGAGCCCAAGCGAAAGGATCCCATAAAAATAATGAATTTAAGGTAAAAAATAAGGTTAAAATCGAATTCTCACCTTTACTGCCGGGTTTAGGAAACCTAACCTGGGGATTTTAACAGAGTTCACTGACGTGAAACAGAGTAAAAAGTTATCGCGGTGTTGAAATTTTATTCAAATGCATGCTGGGAAAAGGAACTCTACAGTGTGGGAACACTCTGATGGTAAGTGTTTTTGATTGGTAAGGTTAGGTAGGTAAGGCTTTTGACAGCTGGGGTACCCCTTTACCCCCATTATCTTACCTTTTTAGCTTTTAATATTGTTTAATATTTAATATTTAATATTGAACGCTGCTCCAACACAGCCTTCCTTCATGGCGCGCATTGCTAAGGAAACAAAACGGAAGTGCGAAAAATAAATGCTAATCAAAATAAAATGCATGGATAGGTATCCGGGTATTCTGTAATCTTGCCTCCTCCTATAAAAAATCATGATCTTTAACCAGTTAAAAATCAATCATTGGATTTTCTCATCCGACTTGACTATTTATATATTGCTATCAAAGAGATGGAAAGTTGCTGGCATTAAAGAGCAAACAAAACACATGTTTCCCAGGGTAACCTACCTCTGACGGCAGAGTACTTGAGGGAGAAACCCCTGCCCGCTGTTGGAGTCGCCTGTAGTGTAGGTCACTGTGAGGTAGTTCTTCTTGACTATTCACAACTTCACCAGCCCTACTACCACACCATAACTCATCAAGCTTCTCGAGGTACCTTAAAAGCAGACAGGACAGGTGATTGATTCAGTAAAAATCCTGTACACACCACACCTTCCAAAATAGCACTGGTCCCTGGGATATTATATTTTTGTTACATTTTTAAATCCCTTTGCTGCACAACTTCATTTCAATTTTGCACATTTATATGATCGAAAGTAATGACAGTTTATGAATACACAATGCCATTTAGAAAGTGGTCACTAAGAAAGTGTAATCCCAAATATAACATGTTACATTTGACTACTTCTCTAAATGGCATTGTGTATTCATAGCTTCGGCTGTGGGAGCCGCGGCAATTTACTTATCAGAGGGTACACAAAGTCCCCAGTCTAGACTACTTCAGTTGTCCGGACCTCCATTTTGTGGAAGTCGGCTGGCTGAGTGGGTTAGACACCTGACTTTGTGTGCTGGCTGATTAGGTGCCTGACTTCTGAGGGTGGGTGGGTCTCAAACTCCGGATGGGAATCAACCCAATAAAGTACTAGAATCTGTACTTTACTAAGAAAGTGTAATCCCAAATATAACATATGTTACAATGAATATTTGTCCACCAATGGGATACATGTCTTCAGCTTCCAAAACTATGTATGCTCGCTACAGGATGATAAATAATATTTTCAGAGTGAAATATCAACTATTTAGTAGCTGTTGGTTCCATCCAGTGAATACAATGATTTTCAATGACTGCAAATTCATGCAAGGAAAAGATGATGTGAAACAACAGAGAGAGCTGTATTCAATTTCCAATTTTTTCTAACGATAATGCCAAGGGTTATTCTCTAAGGTGCTTTTCCTACAAAAAACAATCAAGTAAAGAGCATCTTTATTTGCACACAGATAAAATCATTATGTTTTTTTTGTGTTTTATCATATCATTACCTACCATCTTTTATCATCAAGCTGTCATATCGGCATTCTCGGGCCAATTCAATGTCAAGGTCATTCAGAGTCACTCTGATGTGGTAACCAATCGGTCCTCTTATAGTGAAGGAACAGGTCTGTGATCTGTAAAGGAGAAAATAGATTTAGCTGATACAGATGAAAGACTGACTGACTGAGTTTTTAGTTTTACCGCTTAGCAATATTCCAGCAACATCACGACGGGGACACCAGAAATGACCGATGAAAGAAGACAAGGAGAATGAGTGAGTATGATTTTATGCCACTTTTTAGCAATATCACAGCAGGGGACACCAGAAATCAGTCTGTAAAGCTGTGTCAATGTTTTAAATCAAACTTCAGCTGTTGGTGTGATGTGCAAACACTTCAACTACTAGACTACCCCACTGACTGGAGATAAGGGAGAATTGTCAGTGTGATATCTCAAGTGTTCTTATACATGTATCATTACATCATTGACACCACTATAAACAGTGTACACCAGTTATGTACACATAACAGCATGTCAACTTTACCTTGCAGTAAAGCCTAAAAGAGATGGTCTCAGACCTTTACGAAATTTGGTGAAACTAGCAAGCACAGCGTTGTTAAGCGACAACAACTAGAAACATAACCAGGGAAAACCAGAATTGGAACCCACCATCTAATGTTTCTGGTAAGCTCAATGGAAGCAGAATTGGTGTGAGCAGTATTAGACAAACAAACAATCAGGATCGGGTTTAATAGATGTTAACCTTATTTTGCACCAGGTGCAACCTAAGATAAAACCTAGTTGCACTAGCCAAATTCCAGCTGCACTGCTCTTATCGCAATATGTAATGAAAGAAATGTGCTACTGAATTATTCAAAGCTTAGATAAAAAATGAGCTGACATAAAAATGCTTATAATAGATTTATTTCACAAAAATGACTTGCACCTGGTGCAAGTTAGACGAATAACTAGGTTGTACTTTGTAATATTGGGTTGCACCAGTGCAAGTAACAAAGCACTAAATAGAGCCCTAAACAAACAAACATTAACAGGTTGATATAATAATCTGACCTCCAGAGTCACTAAAACAGACTTACATGAGAGAAATACGCGGATACCCTTGAGATGTGAGAACTTGCTCCGTTTCAGTTGCACTCAATGTTTTATCACACGAGCCAGAAGGTTTGTCGACTGGAGTTGCAAAATAGAATTATCTGCATATTATCAAGCATAAGACATCTACATACACGGGGAAATGATACGACAAGGTCACTATATCATCTGGATACATAGTGAGTGAGTGAGTGAGTTTAGTTTTAAGCCGCATTCACAATATTCCAGCTATATGGCTTACAGTCTGTAAATAATTGTGTCTGGACCAGACAATCCAGTGATCAACAGCATGTGCATCGATCTACACAATTGGGATATGAGGTCATGTGTTAACCAAGTCAGCTAGCCTGACCACTGATCCTGTTAGTCGCTTCTTACAAGCATGGGTTACTGAAGACCAATTCATGGATCAAGATACATAGGTCATGATACAATATGTATCTGTATGGCAATATGCATATTAACAGCAAATCATGTCCAAACTTCTTCCTATAAATATTTCAGAGCTTATGAAAAGGAACAGCTACCTGTTTGTACTGGATATTTTAAGTAGTAAACATGAAATTCTAATTACACTTTAATTTGCCGCAATGTCAAAATGATGGGGTGGGCGGTGAAAACCGCAATTAGTAATTTAGCAAGTGGCGGGTGCGGTGGGCTTTAGCTAGCTAAGGCTTGCAGGCTAGTGATCCAGCGAGGTTGAGGTGTCGGATCGAGCCCACCTGTGACCGGGTGTAAAACCTTTGGAGTCAACTTTGTGCAGACTCTTTCAGTGTTGTCACAACCCCTAGTGTACAGTACACAACCCTGTGCACTTAAAAAGAACCCACGAATCCGTTGGTATTTGACCAGATGGTGGCTACATGAATACGCAAACACCTAGTTGCGGGTACAGCAACGTGCAGTGAACATGGACAAAGTACTGTGACTATGTGTCCCAGTCCACCCAGCTGTGAATGGGTACCTCGCTAGGATGAGAAAGCCACAATAACTCGTGCTCCTAGTGGCTGCAAGAGTTGTATACTCCCCAGGAGTTGAGATTGATAATGCGATGTGCCGCTGAGATTGACATCCAATGAGCGAGGGAAAAAATACCAGCGTCTTGAGCATGCACTAGTGCGTGGATATGTGCGCTATATAAATATCCTATAATAATAAAGTGAATCATTTGGTTTCCATACAGAAGAAAATGTATCACATCATTGCATGAAACTAATACTGCATCCATTCCACCTGTGTATCATCTCATCCTGAGACATATACAGCATTAAACAGGAGCTGTTAACAAGAAAACAGGTGAAAAACATTGCTCTGTTGGTATGGTGCATAGGCTCTAGTATGACAGGGGCTTATATTGAATGGAACTTCCTTTAAACAATAGGGTCAGTGGTGTGGTTCTTTCAAATTTTAGCAAACACAGGTGACCAAGGCATGTTAGGTACAGAAACTCATTAATCAACTTATCACTCACTCACTCTCACTCTCAAACAACCACCCACCCACTCACTCACCCACCCACTCATTCACTCAAACAACCACCCACCCACCCACTCTTTCACTCACTCACCCATTCACTCACTCACTCATCCACCCACTCACTCCACTGGACTGACTCACTAACCCACCCATTCACTCACTCACTCACCCACAACTCTTACTCACTCACTCAAACACTAACTCACTCACCAACCCAACTACTCACTCATTCACTCACCCACCCACCCACTCACTCAAAATACTCACCCTATCATTCATCTCTCACTCACTCACCCAACCTGCCACCCACCCATCCATTCACTCAAACAACCACCCACCCACTCACTCAACCACCCACCCATTCACTCACTAACTCAAACAACAACTCCACCCACTTACTTACTCACTCACCCATTCACTCACTCAAACAACCACCCATCCAACCACCCATCCACTCACTCAACCATTCACACACACTCATTCAACCAACCACCCACTCACTCACTCACTCACCCACCCATTCACTCACTCACTGACTCAAACAACCACCCATCCACTCCACTCACTCACTCACTCACCCACTCAAACAATCACCCACCCATTCACTCAGTCACTCCACCCACCCACCCACCATTCACTCACTCACTCAAAAACACCCACCCACTCACTCACTCACTCTATTCACGGTGGTCAAGATGCAAAGAGTTTCACTTTCACTCACTCACTCAAAACAACCAACCACTAACTCTAGCACCCACCCATTCACTTTCACTAAAACAACCACCCACCCACTTACTCACTCACCCATTCACTCACTCAAACAACCACCCACTCACTCCACTCACTCACTCCACCCACCCATTCACACTCCACTCAACCACCCACCCATCCACCCACCCACTCATTCACTCACTCACCCACTCAAACAATCACCCACCCATTCACTCACCCACCCACCCATTCCACTCACTCACTCGAAAACACCCACCCACTCACTCTATTCAGGATGGTCAAGATGCAAAGAATTTCACTTTCACTCACTCAACAACCGCCCACCCACTTACCTCACCCACCCATTCACTCACTCAAACAACCACCCACCCACTCACTCACTCACTCACCACTCACCCATTCACTCACTCCAGCCACCCACCCACTCACTCCACTCACTCAATCAAAAACACCCACCCACTCACTCACTCACTCACCCACCCACCCACCCATTCACACTCACACAAACAAGCACCCACCCACTCACCCCTCACTCCCTCACCCATTCACTCACTCACTCAAACAACCACCCACCCACTTCACTCAAAAGAACACCTACCCACTCACTCACTCTATTCAGGATGGTCAAGATGCAAAGATTTTCACTTTCACTTTGACAATAATATCATTCTAATCACAGACATGTACGCCAATAATTATAATTTCAGGATTATCTTTTACAAAACATGACAAATGCAAACATGTAATACCAACATCAAGAGACATGAGGACTATACCAGCCTAATTTCCAGCCACTGTGTAAGTTCAGAGAAAGCCTACCTTGTACCTGACGATACCGAATGTCAAAACCTTTGCCTTCATTGGCACCGTCTGAGGTGAATGTGATTAACACTGTGCCATCAATGCTAACAAACGTTTGTGTCGGGGTGCTTGAACCGCAAATCACTTCATTTGGTGACGATGAATCTGCATGAAATGAATACATATTCAGACAAAAAGTATAGCGAGTTGGTTCCCTAACATTTACAGCTGACATCAGAAAGATACATGTCATGAAACAGAAATAAACGACGAACAACCTTACTCACATACTACATAAAGAACAGGGTGGTATGTCCGTCATGTCCATCCCTCCATTCGTCCGTCCTGTCCATCTGTCTGTGTGTGTGTTTGTGCATGCTATCCATGTCCATCTAACCATATGGTGGGTATGTTATACACTTACTGGACATGAAAATTTGAGATCACGAATATTTTGGAGATATTTGTAAGACATTGTATAATAAGTCTTCACTATAAAAGTGTCCTTACAAAGTCATGACCCCTAACTTTATGGTTCAGTACAAATGTGTTATAACTTCATGAGATGCTGTTACACATGCTGAAACAAACAAACAAACGTCGTCTACTGCAGTGTTACATGCTGATCAGACAAGACAAAGATGTATGAAAAGCGTCTACTGAAACTTACATTAGATTTGTGATTGTAAATATATGGATGGGGCGGCGGGGTAGCCTAGTAGTTAAAGCGTTGGCTCGTCACGCCGAAGACCCGGGTTCGAATCCCCACATGGGTACAATGTGTGAAACCCATTTCTGGTGTCCCCCGCCGTGATGTTGCTGGAATATCGCTAAAAGCGGCGTAAAACCATACTCAGTCAGTCAGTAAATATATGGACAGGCAAATAGAGGCAAAACTTACGAAGGTAATCCACTTCAATTCTGTCTTCATTACAGGTAGGAGGTGTGCCAGATATTTCTACATGGATGACCTCGACCTCTATCTTCCTTTCTGGGTCACTAGTTGATATTGTCCATCTACATGCAAGGTTGCTGAAAAGAACAAATTAACATCCTAAAATTCCCACTGAAAAATATTCAATCTCAAGAAGGCAGTCGTTAAGTTTTTAAAACACTACTTTGACTAGTATTCAAGTTCCATGTCTGGGTTTGAATATTGAAAATCCGGGTTAGAATATTGATCTTCAGTAACCTATGCTTTTTGTAAGAGGCGACTAACGGATCGGGTGGTCAGGCTCGCTGACTTGTTAGACACATGTCATCAGTTCCCCACCATAGACCGCTGGCGATGTATGCTGTTGATCACTGGAATGTCTGGTCCAGACTTGATTATTTACAGACCGCTGACATATAGTTGGAATATTGCTGGAGTGTGGCTTAAAACTAAACTCACTCACTTCACTCACTAAATGTCAGCATGATGTAGGAGAAAAACATGTGACATTCACTCACTTTGGTGAACCCATGACAAACCCCGGAAACAAAATCGTGGTCAATCTGGGATTCGAACCCACAATCACAGGTTTCTGACACAACCAAGGGATTCAACTCTCCATAGCAACTTGTAATGCCTGAACTGACTAGGCCATTCCAGCCCTTAGAAATCCATACAGATTGGGGTCATATTTTTAATGGCAGTTGCTTATTTTGCATGAATTTTCCCTAGTTTTCAAGGAGAAATAGTGTTTTGGATAATCGATTGCTGGTGTTTAAAAAAGGAATTGCAGCTCAATATAAGTTGGGTGAGGTGAGGTGAAATTGGGTTTAACGTCAGGTTTAAGAATATTTCACTATATGAAGATCGCATGTGTCTGTATGTGTGTGTGCTGCTTGTACTAGCCCAGACTGAAGCTGGTTTTATAGTGCTAGCCCACTGAGATACCATGCCGCAGTGAAGCATGAATACCCCACTCAGACACATAATACTGACTCGAAGTCAATCAGTCCTTGTTGTACCCATTAATGCTGAGCCAGGCAGGACCAACAAGAACCATATTTTAACGCCTTTTTGGTATGACGTTGGGGATCGAACCCATGACCTTCCGCCTCCGGCAGACGCTTTAATCACTACACCACAGAGGCGTGACAAGAGGTAAATACCAATTTTCACACAGGACTGAAGCATCTTACCTGTAATAACGATTTGATAACCAGGAGACAACAGGTAGGAATCAACATCAGTCGCTATCAACTCTCATCTCCGCAGTCAGAATCTAGATCAAAATGCCAACAACTGTCACTGTAATTGCCTCTTAGCAATATTCCAGCAATATCATGGCAGGGACCCCAGAAATGGGCTTCACACATTGTACACATGCTGAATCATCCCAGGGCCTAGATTTGTAAAGCTCTCTTTAGCTGTTAAAATAGTCGGTTAATATTAATGTATGGTACTTATGACTATCTTAGCTTAAGACAGCTTAGAAAAATCTAGGCCCAGGTCTTGAGCATGATGAAGAGAACACTTTGACCACTTGGCTGTCATACTGTTCCCCTGATATTATTTGGATTACATACCAAATAATGCCTTCAGAAATTTAACTGACATTGTTTCAGGAAATATTTTTTTAAGTGGAATAAAATACAGGGCTCGATTTAAGGAAATGAGACTCTGATTTGCAATAAGGTGCAACCTTGAATAAAAAAAACCTTGTTGCACCAAACTAAATGCAGCCCAAAATGGGACCTCTGCTAGGAAGTAGGACTGTAACGATGCATCAAATTATCGATGGATTGCAATTGTTGAGTCTCCGATAGCAGTTAACTGATGGTAGAAGAAATATAAAACTATTGATGCATCGACAGTATGTGTGGACTATGGATTAGTGACTATTCGATGATAGTAAACATGAGCAGTGTAAAATACAGGAAGTACCACATTCATTCCCTTTGATTTAGAGTTATCTGCCCCTGTTACCTCTTTTAAACGTTAAGAAGACAAAGTTCAATCAATATCCCCGCAATGGCAAAATAATGCTCATGATTATGTCTACAAGTTATGATTATGTCAACATTTAGGTGTGTATATAGAAAGGTGGAAGGAGAGTATTGAAAGGTTTTAAAGTTCTTGCCCAGAAAGCAGCACTATCACCAATTTCAGGCTAAGTCAAACTTGTTGCCATGGAAATGCCAAAAATATTTTATTCAGAATTCCAAAACTACCAAAAGGCACAAATACACCACCAGATCTATCTATGTGCCAAGTTTGGTGAAGAAACATTGAACGGTTTTAGAGTTCTGCTCCGGAAAAGAGCACAACCACCACCCCAGTCTAAGTCAAACTTGTTGCCATGGAAACGCCAAAAATATTTTATTCAGAATTCCAAAACTACCAAAAGGCACCAGTACACCAACAGACTATCTATGTGCCACAAGTTTGTGAAGAAATTGTGAACAGTTATAGAGTTCTGCTGGCCCGAAAAGAGCACAACCACCAATCTCAGTCTATGTCAAACTTGCTACTGGAAACCAAAAATATTTTATTCAGAATTCCAAAACTACCAAAAGGCACCAGTTCACCACCAGATCTATCTATGCGCCAAGTTTGGTGAAGAAACATTCAACAGTTTTAGAGTACTGTCTCAAGAAAAGAGTCCTACCACCAATTCTTCTTGTGGCTAAGTCAAACTTGTTGCCATGGAAACGCCAAAATATTCTTATTCAGGAATTCCTAAAACTACCAAAAGCAAATCTTCAGTTCACCACCAGATTCATCTATGTGCCGCTTCTAGTAAAGAAACATTGAACGGTTCTAGAGTTAAGTGCTCCGAAAAAGCACACAAATGCACGGATCGATCGATGGGATCGACGGACGACGATCGACGACGCTGACGACCATCGACGACGACGACGCATCGACGGAGTCCATTTTTAATTCCCCCGCAAAACGCTATGGGGATAACAAAACTTGAACTAGGGTTTCAAGTTTCTTACCAGTTATTAGAAGAGACTAAAACCATCGTTTGCTTGTTTTATTTTCATACAAAACTACACATTCATTTGGGTAATGACTTCAAATGAGACAATTCAAGGAGAAAAATAATGATGTTATAGTGGTCGTACAGTTGGTCGCGAACAGATTGTCGCCATCGCGAATAGCTTGTTTCCCCTCAATAGTTACACTTCCTAGGAAGTGCCGCGTATTGTACCCACCAAGAACTTTCCCTAGCATATGTAGACTTCAACACTGCAGCCTTCTTGCATTACCCAGAGTGTCAGAAGGGTTGCAGTTCTCGTGGAGAAACTCCAGGCACACGCATCACCTGTGTCAGGGGAGATCAAGAAGCACAAAACCAAGGGATCCGAGAACAACAGGAGCCTGATGACAGTGGCATGCAAGTGAGACATTTTAAAGGTGGAGGTCCACATATTTATCATGCCTTTCCTGAATCTTGCCAATCACACTCAAGCCAAAAAGGACAAAAATTCAATAACACCACCAATAATTTCAGGAAAGACTTCCGCCATCCCCACACATTTAAATTCTCTCATCTGTAATCAAATCATATCACTTGAATACATTATCCCTCATCTGATAAGGAATAGTTTTACCATTTTTCTTTAATTGTATCTGAACATATTCGAAAGACATATTCTACTTCTAAAAATGCCACTCAAAGAAATCTTTCCTCATCCCAAGTAAAAATTTAGGGGATACGGATGGAAGTTTTACCTAATTTCACTGGCTTAACAAAAGACTCTTATGCTGCATATGGGCCTATTCCCAAGAAGCATAAAAGCATCATATTCCTTTTGCCCTGAACATGCACAGGATCATATAAAGCCAAATTAAAGGCAGAAACATATGGTGCAGAGTTGTATGACAGAAATAAGCCATGCCATTGCAGTTTCTTCAGATAAGTTGTTTATATGCACATGGATCGACATCCATCATCACAATGAGTTATTATCAGCCGTGATAGAAATAAGGCCCGGTCCGACAGCCCGAGATCGGATAAATTTCTGATGATCTGACTAAATTTACAGCTAAGCAAGCCCCATTGTCCGGTAAAAAATATTTTTGACGTTCCATACATCTGAGTAAAATTCACCATATCTTGGTGTCTGGTCTGGTTAAATTCATTTCTGGGACTGGTAACATTTTTGAAGTTACCAGCCCTGATGTCTGGCTGGGTTTTACCTTATTTCATACAATATTATTATTATTTCAAAAACACAAACAATGATGCATTAAGGAGATGAAAGCAAATGCTTGTGTCGAATGAATAATTCACTTCTACTTAAAAATACCTCTTGTACTCTGATCATAAATCCTTTGGCTCTGCTTGATACGGTTGGATTTGAAGCTTATCTGTAGCCTGTTTCCACTGCCTGATACTTAATTTGGGTTTCATTTGTCCATTGCGATAGCAGCCCACATCATGCACCCAATATCTAGAGTGAGTGAGTGAGTTTAGTTTACATTGCTTTTATCAACATTCCAGCAATATTACGGTGGGGACACCAGAAATGGGCTTCACACATTGTACCCATGTGGGGAATCAAAACCCTGTCCGCGCGACGCAGCTTAAAGTTTTAACCACTAGGCTGCCCCCAATACCCATAGAAACAAAGCAATCACTGCTGCTACAATGAAATTTCTGATTAAAACCATACAATATAATTTGTTATCTTTACGCTTGTAACCCCATTCGCCTATGTAATCTCAACAAACCAATTTCCAGATACTAAGTAAACCATGGCTATAACGAAATGAAAGGGACTTATAAACAAGCGTGTTACAAATCCATAGTTTGCTATATGCATTCCAATGGATATACACAGCAATTGGGCCAAGACAAAAAAAAACAACAGTGAGTGAGTTTAGTTTTACGCCACACTCAGCAATACCCAGGTATATGGTATGGCCCGTAACAACGAGTCTGACCAGACAATCCAGAAGATCAATAGCATGAGCATCGCATCTGCTAACTGGGAACCCATGATATGTGTCAACCAAGTCAGCAAGCTCGACCACCGATCCCGCTAGTCACTTTACGACAAGCATAGTTACTGAAGATCAATATTCTCTAACCCGATTTTAAGGGTCAATAAAACAACAGCTTGTAGTGAGTGAGTTTGGTTTAATGCCGCTGTTAGCAATATTCCAGCAATATCACAGCGGCTCATTGCCATGGTTCATCATAAGTTTGTTTATTGTAAACGCAGCTCAACGTAGTAAACGTGAGTTGGTGCAATTTGCAGGCCTGTTAATACATCTGATAAATGTTACTATTGTTACTCCAGCCTGCTCAGCAGCATTAAAATGTATTAAATTTCCATTTACATTTTTATTTTAACCATATTATATTCATTGAACAAAAGCATTGGGGCAATGCCATCCAACTTAATGAAGCCCTCCCAGCATTTATGTTAAATCCACATTTCATACGAGAAACAGAGAACATATATACATATTTTACATTTCTTTGGCACAAAGATAAAAGAGGAAATGACGGCAGCATTTACCAACCGAATTCAGCTTATCAGCATTCTTTGCCTTTTTTCACCTGCATTTAAAGATTATGGTTTGTATTGGATAGAATCCCCACTGCCTCCGTGAAGTTAAAATAATCAGGTATAGATATGTGTATAATAATCAGGCATTATAATCAGGTATGACACTGTCCACCTACTTGATCTACATTTGGTGATGTTGTCGTTCTCAATAACTAACAGAGTTCTCAATGGATGCATGTCCACCACGCCTATCCGTATCCCGTCATGCGACCTGTGCTGCTCCTGGATGTTGTGGTATTTATGACATATCACTGAAACGGACAAGAAACAAGTAATGACAAAACTGCAAAGTCCCTCATTCATATCCCAACCAGGAGTAGATGTCCCAATAATGAGGGGTAAAGAGATGCACGAAGTGGTTAAAGCGACGGCTCATCACCGAAGACCTGTCTCGATTCCCACATGGGTACAATGTGTGAAGCTCCATTTCTGGTGTCCCCTACTGCATATTGCTGGAATATTGCTAGTGCTGCATAAAACCAAACTCACTCACTCACTCACCTAATAATGAGGGAAATTATTCTTCAGATGTACAGTGTTAATGTTAGTTGTAGTCCAACGATGAGTCATAGATTATACAACACCAGCCATCAGAACATGATTGTCCAGTGGAAGAACTTAGGCAGGAACAAGCCATATATTTTCAGATGAAATAGTCATCGAACACGATG